AAAACTCTACAAAGGTTTGAATGGTACGTATCGTAGAATCATTATATTATTGCATTTAGATTCTAGTATTCTACAAAATAAAAATAAAGTTCTTTGTGAAATATTATATTATATGGTGGGAACACATGTAACCCGGTTAGTTATTAATAATGTTGAGACCGTTTACAAGTTTACAAGTTGTGCGGATTATTTTGTGTCTCCCTCTTTTATGAATTATGAGGCTTCCACTCTTATTTATAATAATAGAAAATACATTGTTCAATACTAGTATTCATCTCAAGTCATCCACCCGGGTAGTCTTCAAGCCGGCTAGTCTTCAAGTCATTCACCCAGGCAGTCTTCAAGCTGACCAGTCTTTAAGTTATCCACCCGGGCAGTCTTCACGCCGACCAGCCTTTAAGTCATCCACTCGGGCATTTTTCAAGCCGACCAGTCTTCAAGTCATCCACCCGGGCAATCTTCAAGTCATGATATTACCGGTCAGATTAACGAGGACAATGAGGTCAAGCCTAGTAAGACTTTAAGCCCTCTGCGAATGAAGTCACGATCTCACAGGTCTGACCCCTAACATCCACCCTGCCTGATTACCGGGGTCGGTGAGGTTGGGTGGGATCATACTTCGGTACCTCCTAGGAGCCTGTGAACTTATCAGGTGGTACCAATGGGTTATACCCATCAAGGAATCCTCCGACTCCCGGCTTAATTTTGAATTTTCCAGGTGAAGTTGGCGGGAAAGATTTTACAGAAACTGGTACGTCGCTGCCTAGTTGATGGTGGCTTCGCCCGGGTGAACAAGCCATCACGGGAGCCTAACCGGGAGGTCGACATCTGGTTCTTCCATGTGTCCCAGCGACTGATTGATGACATTGGGACCTTTGGATTTGGGACCGGTCAGTACCAAAAGCACCGTGGGTTGTACGAAATCTTGAGCAGCCGGGTGTAGGATTTTGAACCGGCCGAGTACTTATTCCCTTTTTGTACTTTCTTCCTTTATTTTTGACCCGACCGTTCGAACTCTCAATCTCTTTGACCACAACCAAGCTGTAACTACCCGGTCTAACGCATCTCACCATTCTTTCAGAAAAAGAAAAGTGTTTCGCACGACAAAAGATGGACCCGGCCCATATAACCGGTTTGGCTTTCTACTCAAGTAGAAAGTAAGCCACCCGGGTGGGTTTTTTACAGAGCAGGCCTGGGCTATGCTTCAAAGTTGATCATGTAAGTCATTTCTTCTTTCACCAGGATGAATAAGAGCTATAGTCCTCCGAGTGAGCAAGGCAACTCTTTCCCTTCAAGGCCTCGGTCATGCAAACGGGGGGATGTATTATTGGAAAAGTCCTCCGAGCCAAGTTAAGTGAATCCATCGTGACCCCATCACTCACCCGGGTTTGAATCTTGATCGGGTGGGTAGCTTTGGTTTTTCTTGATTTATCCCGGGTAGGGTGGTTCACCCTGGCTTTGCCTGGTGAAAAGTGTTCAGGGAAAGATATCAAAGATCAAGGTATGCCCGATGTTACCAGTTTGACCGGGCTCTTTTGTTTTGCTGAAATCGATGTGCAATCGGTGTACCCAATTCAATTGGGCTCAGGCTTGTTGGAAAATATGTGCAATACCGGTGTGAGACCAGTGTACTAGTTCGACTGAGTCACATATTTTCTTTATTTTTTTCATTTATACTGCACAAGACCGGTGTGAGACCAGTCTTCAAGCCGACCAGTCTTCAAGTCATCCACCCGGGCAGTCTTCAAGCTGACCAGTCTTCAAGTCATCCACCCAGGCAGTCTTCAAGCCGACTAGTTTTCAAGTCATCCTCCCGGTAAATCTTCAAGTCATGATCTTACCGGTCAGATTAACGGGGACAGCGAGGTCAAGCCTGGTCAGAGTTTAAGCCTTCTGCGAATAAAGTCACGATCCCACAGGTCTGACCCCTGACATCCACCCGGTCAGATTACCGGGGTCGGTGAGGTCGGGTGGGATCATACTTCGGTACCTCCTGGGAGCATGTGAACTTACCAGGTGGTACCAATGGGTTATACCCATCACTAGTTATACTTGTTTATATTTAATATATGTACTAGTTAAAAATTAAAAAATCTCTATTATTTAATTTGAAAATTATAACTTTTTTATGAGAGGGAATAGTTTTTTTTATTTTAGTCAAACTGTGAGCATCTTCTTAATTTTGTTTGAGTAGAAGTTGGTTCTTATAATTAACATATTTACAAAGTTACTACTTAAAAAAATTAGAAAGTTTTTTTTATACTCATATTTTTCTTTAAAGAAAAAGTAATTTCTAAGAAATTATATACTCCGTATTTATAAAGTAGAATTTTGACAAAATCTATTTAAATGGACAAACCGACATCTAAGTATCTAACGGCCTTTTTCTCCTAATTGAAATGAGATCGACCCTCGAAAATTATATGAAAGACATGTTAAATACTTCCAATGAAATCGACCCTCAATTTTGACTTTTTGAAGTTCACCAGAAATAATCTTTGATCTATAACTAAATGCTATCTCCGTCACAAAGTATTCGTCAAATTTTGTTTTTTTGAGTTAAAGTGGATAAACTTGATTTTCAAATGAAGTAAAAAATACAAAAGACCACTCCCATGACATTGAGAATCAATGTCATGGGATGACCCGGGGGTGCTTCGATGTCCCATTCATAAAATTGACGGTTCCTAACCCCTTGATAAAACCCCTTACCCCGCCCCGACCCAAACACGCCCCCCCCCCTCACCCCTTTCAATTGCACCCCAAGTTAATTTTGACTTTGGCGTTAAATTTTGTAGTAATGGCGTTATTACAGTTTGTCGAGTTTAATTCGTTACAAAATTATAAGAATTAATGATTAAAGTTTGTGAAATTTAATTTGAAAAAGTCAAATTAGGCAATTCTCTGGGTCGGAAGAAGTAATAATTATATGATATATTAATTTGATAAAATACTACCTCCGTCCCATTTTATAACACTTGTTTCGGTTTACGATGTTTGACTGAAATTATTTTCAAACCATTTTATATGACAAATGGTATAGAATTAAAAAATAAAAATTACATATTAAAAAATTATATCAAAAGATCTACAAAACTAGTAGTGACAATAATATTTTATTTTATCAAATTGTTAATGAAAATATAGAAAGAAAGTGAATGAAGTTTGACCCTGTAAATAGTAAACATGCATTATAATTTTGGACGGAGGGAGTAATATTTTAAAAATATTTTACAAGATGAATCTAGTAAAAATATTTATGTATTAATATTTGATATCAATTTTATGGTCCCGTTTGGCATCAGCGTTAGAGATTAACGTTAGCATTTTGAAAAAGTTATCTAACGGTAGTCTTTAGCGTTAACGTTTTCAGAATTAGTCCGCAGCATTAAATTTTTTATCTAAAACGCTAGCGCTAATAGAAAACGTTATTACCAAACAAAGCCTATATAATTTATAATCAAAGTTTGCCAATTTTAACTATAAAAAATTAAAATTAGACAAATATTCATTCTATGTCGGAGTCTCCTGATCAAAGTGCGGGCCAGGCCGAGACACTACTTTTCGAAAATTTTCTAGGCTCGAGCCCGGCCCGGCCCGTATAACGGGCCTAACAATTGAAGCCCAAGCCCGGCCCGCATGATTACCCGCGGGCTTCGGGCCGGCCCGGGCGGCCGACAAAAACTTCTAAATAATTTAAAAATATTTTTTTTAAAAAAAAGTAACAAGTTAATATATTAGATATTTGATATAAAAACTATTATGAGTAAATGAAAGAAAAATTGATATATAAATATTTTTGTTTGATATTGCTACTATGTATGGAGTACAAAATATTATCTATTGGAATGTCATAATGAATGTGTGATACGTTGCAAACAATACGGAGTAGTAAAGATGTATTCATTTTATTATCTATGTATGTGTGTTTATAATAATTCGAAATAGGTTTGTTTATTATTATTATTATTATTAATGTTGTTATTGTTATTTTATTATAATTATATTAATAATAAATATTTAATTTATTCGGGCCGAGCCGGCCCGTGGGCTTGAGCATAAACCCGAGCCCGGCCCTAAAATATTCAGGCTGCCATTTATAAGGCTCAAGCCCGGCCCGTACCCTAAAATGTCAAGCCCAAGCCCGCAAATTTTATGGGTGGGCTTTTGCGGGCGGGCCGGATACCTGGGCCCGTGATCGGGTCTAGTCGGAGATAATAAGAGGCTGTTCTCCAGTTCTCCTTTGCCAAAAAAGCAACTAATTTTTCTGTGCAGAAGCAAAAGTAAAAATAGTTTCTATAAATTAATCAAAACATGCATATTACTCCCTTCATCTCTTTTTATTTATCCATTTGTTATTTATAGAATAAGTTCATAGTATCTTTTTCCTAGCTAATTTTTCTCTAATCATTTGTTCAAACAAAACGGTCAAATCGCCTCATATTTTGTAAAATTCTTAACGTAAGCTTTAAATATATAAACCTTTATAGAGCCGGGTTCCATGGCCTATTTATATTTAAAGGTTTAAATATATAAACCTTTAAATATATAAACCTTTATACCTTTATAAATATATTAAGTATAATTGACTTTAAAGTCAAAAGTTTTGACTTTATACTTACGGGGTGCAATTGACGTAGGTGGGGTGATTAGTTTGGGTCGGGACTTGGCGGGGGAGTTTACCGGAAGGGTTAGAGAGGGTAGAAATCATCAATTTTATGAACGAAGATCCGTAGGGGGGCAGTGGCTTCCGTGACCACTGCAATCCAGTGGCCATGGAACTGGGCTCTATACATAAACATCGTACTACACTACTACCTCCTTCCTAAAATATCCGTTCCTTTGAACTTTTCGAGTCAAACTAAAAAAACTTTGGTCAACAAATTAAAAATTACTCCGTATATATTAGTACAAAAATAATTTTATTAAGATGGAAGATAAGTATTTTATATAAATGGCCTTGCACTACACTAAAACTTTCCCTAAAAAATTACACATACATGCCACCCCTCTTTATGCATTACACAATGCACAGATTGTTGAATATAAATTAGAGAACAAAATTTCTCTCTTCTCGGGATTGGAACAAATAGTCAACATATGAAAATCATCTTCCTTTGGAGATACTTTTTCTCCTCTTAATGAGTCCATACATTAAAGTGATATAAGTAGACTTCTCTACAAAATCGCCTCTTTTGGTAAGCTGTTCAAAGATACGCATTGCATCCTTATATCTCCCTTGAGCACAAAGCTCATTTATCTCTTCCGACTCGGCAACCTGTTGTTCCGTTGAGGAACAGTGACCTTTCACAGCGTCTTCCCCGACTGATTCTCCGGATGACATTCTCATCTCGTTATATTTGGACACAAAGTCTTCTGCTTCCCTTGCCCTCCCACTCTCACTCAATGCTTTGACGATCGCGTTGCAAGTGTAAGTATCTGGCCCGAGTTTCTTCGCTTCCATCTCAGAAGCAAGCACAAGCGCGTCATCTAGTCTCCCATCCTTACATAGGGCTGTTATGAGTGTGTTGTAGGTCACGGCGTCGAGCTGTTTCCCTTTGTCAAGCCATGTGTTGAAGAGGTTAATGGCTTTTTCGATCATTCCTTCCCTGCAAAGTCCCATAAGGAGAATGTTGCATGTATAGGTGTCTGGTTTGAACGAATCCTCCACCATTTTGTTACTAAACTGAAAGGCTCTCTTCATATTCCCCTCCCAACAGTACCCGTGGATGATCGTGTTGTATGTGATCTCATCTGGAACCAAACCATTGTCCAAAAGTTCATTGAATTTAGAGATGGCTTCTGCTGTTTTACCTGATTTGCATAGGCCCGCGATTAGAGAGTTATATGTAACCAAACTGGGAAAGATCTCTTTTTCTTTCATCTCATCCCAAAGCTTGAGAGCTCCTTCTACATTCCCGTTCTTGAAATAGGCGACGATCAGACAGCCATAGCTTACTTCGTCAATGATATATCCACATTTAGTGGCATTCGCAAGCAACTCATACGCCTCGTCGAGCTTCTTTTCTTGACAAAGTGTGTTCAAGACTGTGTTTAGTGTAAAGGTCTCCATTTTCAAACCCTTTTCTCCCATCTTATTGATTATCTTGAAAGCCTCGGCAAGATCTCCCCTTTTACAATATGCACCAATGAGAGTATTGTATGAAACGCAGTCTGGGCAAAATCCACTCTTCTCCATCCTATGAACAGTGTCTATGGCATCATTTAGTCTCCCTTCCTTGCAATACCATTTGATCAATATATTATAGCTAACTTCGTTAAGCTTCATCCCATTGCTATTCATCTCTTCGAGCAAACCAAAGGCCTCAGAACTCTTTCCACCTTCAAAGCAACCGTTAATCAATGTGTTATAAGTTACCACATCAGGTAACAACTTCAAGCCAGCCATTTCATCGCGAAGCCGAAAAGCCTCTTCAATCTTTCCTGAATTACAGAGACCGTTAATCAGCATGTTATAGGTCCAGACATCGGGCAGTGTATTGCTACTCCTCATCAACTCCATGATCTTAACAGCTTCCTTCAAACACCCTGCTCTACAATAACCACCAACTAAAATGTTGAAAGTGTTCTTATTTGGGAAGATGGCCTTGTCCTTCATATTCAGTAGCACATCACGAACCTCTCTTAATCTGCCCTTCTTGCACAATGCGTCTAATACCGTATTATAGCTCACATTATCTGGACTGCACCCATATTCCTCCATCTTATCCAGCAATCTAATTGCATCGTTGCATTTATTCTCTACACAATGCCCGTTGATCAAGATGTTAAAAGTCATTACATTCGGAGCTAAACCTAGCTTAAGTGCATCATTAAAAATTTCTTTGCAAAGGTGTAAGGAGTGGGCAGAAGGATACTTCACCAGCGAGTTGAGGAGAGTGTTGAGAGTGAGCACCTTAGGGCACAGCCCGTGTCGCTTCATTTTCTTGAAAAGCTGAAGAGCAAGGTGTGGGCGACGGCACTGGCAGTAAGCCCCGATGGTCGTGTCCAATAGAGCCTGCGAAGGCTTTGGAAGCGAGTGATTCGGGTGGAGAAGGTTGCGGTGGAGCGCATTGGTTGGGTGATCGGAGGGGATGAAATTGAGGAGGAGCGATTTGGCATCAGAGAACTTATTGTGGGAGACAAGTGAGGTAAGGAGATAGATAAGAGAGGGGAGAGGGTTGGCGGAGAAGGAGGGGACATTGGATTGGGCCCACACGTAGAAGAAGAGGAGAATGTTTGGAGAGGAAGAGAGGTTTTTAGAAGAGAAGATGGAGTGGATGACCGGCGCCGTGAGGTAGGGAACATACGGGGTGAGCAATCCATGGAGGAGAGGATCATGACGTTTGGAGGACGAGCCTACAAGCAGAGTGACAATTGATTGAATCACATCGTTGGCGGGGGTTGATAAAGATTTTGACGAGATCGAGCTCATTGATTCCCCTCCTCGTCTGGTTAGCGTCACGAGTCCTCCTCTCAAGGAAGGAAGACGAGGAAACCTGCTATCTGTTATCGCTGCAATACCTATATCATCAGAACATGGATTCGCTTAGGGACAAGTCTTTCAGCTCAAACTCGCCAATACTTTCACAAATCTGAAAACCAAATCCGAAATTTATATAATAGAGCTATGGATTATTCTTCTTAGATTGCCCTAAAAGATTACTCCCGAAACCCAATCATCCATTTCCTTCGCTTAGATTGCCTTACATCTTAAAGACTTTCCCCCAAGTTAGGGATCGTATGCCTGCTGTTTTGCAGAAGATTTAGCCTCAAAATAACCCATGAACCTGTATCAAACCATGAGCTCTCAAAATTTCTTAACAAAAACAAATAAACATTCGCATACGAAACCTTCTGTCCAGATTTAGTTGCCTGCATTTCCAAAATGTCACAATTTTCAAAATACGTTTGTAATCCATTGATTTCAACAACGCAAATGTGTATATTTTAGTTGATTAATCATAACTTGTCCACTAAAATGAGAAATTGGGCAGCTAAAATCAAAGAGCATATTCCCCAACGTTTCTGCTCAAAAATGGAAAATAAACAAATCAGGGGCGAATGTGAAGGAAATAACAGAATAATGAGCTAACCTAAGTTGCGGAAGAGTTGAATCCATGATAAAGCTTATCGGAATCCCCCTTGTGAACTGAATATGGTTCTGAATCTCCGTTAGGGTTTTGTTGCCGCTGCAGATTGGCCGATAGAGTGAGTGCTGATATAGCAGAGAGTGATGAAAGGGAGAGGGCTGCACTTTGTTAAACATGTCTTAGAACGCTTTGATCCTCAATTCTAAGATTTGATGTTAAAATGTTAAACAAAACAATCTATGAAAAAATTACTCGATTAAATGAATATTTAAATAAATATATAAGAAAATTAATTTCGAAAAAAAAAATCATTTTTTTCGTGTTATGTTATAAATTTGGATATAGTTCCTCGTCTTAAAAAACATTCTTTTCGTTTCGGTTTACGACATTAGAAATCATTCTAAATAGGACTAAAACATATAGAAAAGTATCAAAATAGGACATTCATGTTTTTTTTCCCGGAATAAGACTTTGCACTGTGGTAATGTGACTTTGCATTGTGGTAATGTGGCAGTGTACATGTGCAAATTACTATACTTTTTTGGTAATGTATATGACCATGTTGGGTAATGTAAGTCCTATTTCGAGAATAAAAACATGAAAGTCCTATTTTGGTATATTTTCAATGTTTTAATCCTAGTTTGGTCTTTCTCCGTTACGACATTTGACCGACTTTATTTTCAATTCAATTTATTAGATCGTAGATGTGAAATTTAAAAAAATAAAATTTCTATATTTATACATAAAAAGTACTACAAAACAAGGGGTGACATGATTATCTGATTATATATTATTTTATCAAATAACTAACAAGAATATATAAAGAAAGTCATTAACTTTGACCGTATGAATTGTAACTGGAAAAGAATATTTTATGTCCGAGGAAGTATAATATTATTGAATAGTTATCATATGTAAATACATTTTTCAAGTCGTGTTGGAAGAAACTAAAATAAATTAGAAAAAACTAAAAGAAGTTAAAGAAGTTGAAAATTAATTTTTTTCAAATCGAAATGAACAAAGCCAAGTCATTTTTTAACATGTAAATAATGGTATATAAGTCATTTTAGATTGTTATTTACAGCTTTTCCTTCCTACACTTTACTCCCACATTCTTTATGTTTCTGTTTACAAAGTTTAAACGACTTTATTTTCAATTTAATTTATTTGATTGTAAGTGTAAAATTTAAAAAAAAGTTATATATTTAAAAACCTCATCAAAAGTTTTACAAAATAAAAGATAGCAAGACTATAATTTTTTATTAAATACGTAACTAATAAAAATAGATAAAAAATTAATTAAAGTTTGATCATGCGGAACCATAAAAAATACTCCGTACCTAAAAACAGAGTAAAAATTAGAGGAATGTTAGGGGTACACCATTTGGGGTACCCCATTTGTACACCATCAATCTTCACCCTCCATTTTTTTCATTTTTAAATTTTTTTTCCTCTCTTACTTTTGTGTAGTGGAGATGGAAGGGGTACAAATGGGGTACCCCAAATGGTGTACTTCTAGCTTTTTTCTAAAAATTATCAAGGAAATCACATGCTTGAAGTACAAATAGATTGGACCCGCGCAGAGAATATATGAAAGAACCATGCTAGGGTGCTACCATGGGTGCACCCATGATTCGCACAGACAAACACAGACGATAATTGTCTGTGCGATACATGGTAGCACCCATGTCCTATATTGGTGCACCCTAATTTTCGAGACTCCATTAACGTCCCATTCCAGAATCTGCAGCCGTTCCAAATCTGTAATTTGAAATTTTTCTAGCGAATCAATACTTTCCTTGACCGAACGCTTATAGATTCATCCCCAATTTTACGGACAGGGCGTATCTTTCCTCTTCAGCATTCTAAAAAGCTTTCATTTTGCTCATCAATGGAGGCGGAAGAGAGGAAGAAGATGGCGAGTTTCAGTTACAGCGTTGAGGACGAAGGCAGGTTGAACCTGATCGACATTTCTTCGGAGGACGATTTCCTCATCGCTTCCCCACTCTTCGAATCTCTAGAAGATCTTCGTCTCTCCGGTGTGTGATTCTCCGCTTTAATTTCTTCTTCGTTTCTTGATTCACGATTGATGATGATCTATGTGAAACCCAGGTCTCAGAATCATTTTGGGTTTTCTCAGTTTTGAAGAAAGAGTAATGCTTTAACATCACTTCATATCGAATTCGCTTGAAATTTTGGAAATTTCGATTCTTTTTGTATAAAGAATGTGAATTCAAGAAGCAACAATTTCAAGAATCGCTTAGGTTCTTTTAACTCGCAGTTCCTGTTAATTGCTGGTTCTGTAGTTTCTTGATTTCTGGTTGCTATATTTTGTCAATTTGCAGTGACGTGGGATAAAAATGGTGAGAACGATTGCTTCAGATTCTCAGGCGTTGGAAACTCTTTTTGCAATGTATTGCCCCAATCTGGAAGGCCCAGTTTCTTGCGCAGAAGCTTGGCTTGGGACAACGCCTTCTCTACCAGTTCTGGTACTACTGTCACAGATTTATATCATCCCAGTTTTTTTTTTTCAAATGACAAAATTGTCTCCAAGAAAAGTATATGCTGTAAATGAATCTTTGGGTGTGTTATTATATGGGAAATTGCAGGTGTATTAGATCCTGATGAACTCTTATTCATAAACAAAGGAGCATGTCCAAAGCCTGAATCTAAACAAAATGTGCCTCCAAGAAGAACTGTCAATGGGAATATGGTATGAACAAGGCTTATGGTGTCCCTCTAAATGATTTCCTCTAAAATGGTTTGTATTTCTAAAAAGTGTTGTTTTATTTTTGGGTTTTTTTCCCTCTTTCAGAACAAGATTAAAACGGTTTCTAAGAGGGATCAGCATGGCGATATTCAAGCATCATCAGAAGATAAAACTAACAAAAAGAAAGCCCCTTTGCCAGTACAAAGCAAATATGCTTTTGGGAGTTCTTGCAGTTCATCTCGCTTCTCTTCTTCAACTTCAACCATTTTTTCTTCTGATTCTTCATTTGCATCCAAAGATTCAATCCCTTACCTCAGGCGTTCTTCCTCCACAAGAACCCTTTCGAAAACCAAACCTGGATCAAAGAAAACTACACTCCCTCCATCCAATCGGATTCCTGAGGTTCCTGATTCTTCTCAAGCTATTGGTATTTTAATGGATGGAACTCCAAAAAGAGATGTTGTTACTTCTCAGGAATCTGCCGGAATACCCATTTCTGGGAACTCGAAACCTTCATGTCTGCGTCTTCCTTCTCCAAAGATCGGTTTCTTCGACGAGGTTCGTCTCATTCTTTAAGTCTTGTAAAAGCTTCTGTCTTTGATGATGTTTTTATACTAATCAGTGTCACAATCCACTGCAGCTGGCTCCAAAAGCAAGAGGATTCTTCAAGTTTCAGATAGGAAAAGCAAGCAAATCTTCCAAAGAAGATGCCGGAAGAACCCCAAGTGGGAGTGGGAAGCAGAAGCTCAAAGCTTCATCAACTCCCCAGCAGCCAAGAAGTGCTCCACCTTTCAGACTCACAGCTTCCTCATTGTTTTCTGCTGATAAATCCTCCGAGATGGATGATGAAACGTTTTGCAAGTCTAGAAAAGTGGGGTCTGGGGAACGCGAGAGGAGAAGCATTGGGATTAACCATGCTCCAAACATGAATATGAAAGGAGAGCAGAGGAAGGGAAGAAAGGAAAGAGAAGAAAGGAAGAACAAAAGAGGAGGAGAATCATTAAGCATCAGGGAGAAGAACGCAGCAAATGATTTAAGCAGGGGGTTCAAGATGATGGGCTTGGGAGAAGACGAAGAAGAAACTGCAACAAGAACTCCACTTGCTGAGAAAACAGCTACAAGTCACAGCAATGGAAATGTGACAGAACCCAAGAAGGAGAAGATGGTGGAGAAGAAGTCTCCAGTTTTTCTTTTTCCTGCTTCTCACAAAGAGAATATCTGATTTGCATCAATAAACATATCAGAATATACAGTTTCTTTTCTTGCATCACTGGATATATACATTAAACTCATCATTTACGGAGCGATAATCATCAAGAAGCTCCACATACTATACAAAGTTTCCATTTTTTACTTTAGTTCCTACTTCAATCTTGAAATGCATATAAATGCACTGACAAACAGAACATCTGATTTGCATCCATAAAGATATCAATCTATACACTTTCCTTAGTTTCTGATATGCAAGCATATATCATTAAACCCGTCGTTTATAATCATCAAGAAACTCCACATAGGCACATACTATATAAAGTTTCTAGTTCAGTTCATATTCCAATCTTGAAATGCATAGCATATTGATGGGTATATTAAAACTGGTCCGAATATGTATTGAATCTATATGTCGGGGTGGCGGAAATTAAACCCAACATGAATATGAATCATATCATTCATTATATATGTAATCTACGTGGATGCATGAATGCATGCATGTTCTTTACATGTCCATAGTGTGTTTGTAGTGGAATAAATTAAAGATTGAAAGAGGAGGGACAATATAATTAATGACACTCTGTAGATATACATTGTAATATTACATTATTACAAGTTTTTTTTTTTTTTGCAGAGAGAAAGAAAGAAAGAAAATATTTGCTACATACAACAAGAATTAGAAACAGGGTAGCAGGGGATGGATATGATGATGATGATGGATGGATGGTGATGATGGATGATGCTAGCTAGCCAACCAAGACATAAATGGCGTAGATGATGCCCGGTATGTAACCCAGAAAGGTGAGTAACAAATCAATCCAGAACTCCACCTGCATATATGCATCCATCCCAATAATTCAACATTTATAAATTAATCAATCAAATCATACACACATCCATCATATACATCATCATCATCATCATCATCATCATCATACATATGAATATATGATGATGATGGTGATGATCACAGATGGATGATATATTGATTTAATCAAACTATTTAACAAAAAAAGAAAAGAAAAGAACTTACTCCGCAGCCATGTCGAAGGAAGACACCAACAGGCGGTAGCAGAATCGCTAGTATGATTTCCACAAACGTTTCTGATCCCATTTCTGTTTTTTTTTTAAATTTCTTAATCCCCACACACACACACACGTAATTAATCAACTGCAAAGAGACGATGACAGTTTTTTCTTCAATTCTTTAATTATTTTTATTACTGTTTATAGGTTTTAATGATCTGAAATGATATGAATATAACAGACACATAGAAGAAGATGATGAAGATGAAGAAGAAGAAGATCAGATCTGATTAATGCACGTCCCTTTCGTCACCACCGCTCGTAACCGCCAGATGTGCTTCAAGGAAAGCGACACGTGGAAGGATCGGACCACGTGGCACCCTGTGGAAGTTTGAAAAATACTGGACTCGGTAACCGAACTTTCTAGTCCCGAAAAAAGCCCATATTTTTTTCTCCCAAACCGGACAAGTCCGCACGCATTGTGCCATCGTGGGCCGAAAGCCCACAAACTACCTTGTTTGCGCTGCGCTCCAACGGAATACAGATGTGTCTTATCTCACTTAGGGCCCGTTTCGTTCATCTTATTTTTTCATCTTATTACTTATTCATATCAAAATGAGATGAGATCAGATATAATCAGATTAGATCGGACCAGATCAGATCATAAATAACTTTAAAGCTTCATTTAGTATACAAAATCCAAACCTTAAAAATAGAATTGAGAACAACAATTTCAATTTTGCTGTTTGGTAGGACAAAAATATGTGGCTTTGGATTTGATAATGCCAAAAATAAATTCAAATTGAAGAAGTCAATTCTATCCAAATCAATTCCGTAATTCAACTCTCAATTCGTTTCCAATTCCGTTTATTCCATACACCAAATAGATGATAAATATAATTACAATCAAATTGGGCTCAATCAAATCAGATTAGATGAATGGAACACGGGCTCAGTGCTCATGGGCTAGACTTCAACTTTTTAATTTTAAATTTCCAAATTTAACTCCAGAATACAAATTTAAAACTTTTCATATCTATTACAGTAAATTATTTGTTCATCTATTGTTTTTTTCTCAATCTATTAAAACACACAAAGTTATCGCCCATAATAAGGTTCGAACCTGTGTCCTCCTATTTAGAAAAATTATAATGATATCAATGAATAACAAAGTCTTTCAGTCAATATTGAGATACGAAGTATAAAATTTTTCCGAACTTACAGTTAAAAATTTAATCTTTTGATTTATTGATTGTTTAACATGATATCAAAATTTTATTGACTAAGAAGTCACAAATTGGGTTGTTAAGATCCATCACGGATTAGAGATTGGTTAGGAGGTTAAAATAGAGGATCAATGCAATTAGAATGAATGGATCTTCATAAGATTCTTTTATTCCTTTTTTCAACATAATAAAATTTTGAATAATGAATGTTAAAATAAACCATACAGAATAATTAAAAAAAATATATATATTGGGTAAAATAAGAAGAGCCACTCCAGATCTGGCAAAAATAACGTTGTTCTGAGCAGCCCATCCTCGATTTCTCTTATCTCCTCCTTGATAATTCTGTTATTTGCATTTTGCTCCCCAATGAAAATGACTAATTGCCCTTCACCACCATCTTCACACCTCCTCCCACATTGCCAACTGTTCAGACAACCAGGCAAATGTTGTACTTGGATTAATATTATACAGTACTACCACATAAGATTTTTAATTGTACCAAAGATGCCAAAACAAATCTTGATTTTCAAGTGTGACATTTTATTTTCCAGTGTAACATTTTATTATACCAAAACAAAAAGTTTCGTCTCATTCAGTCATTCGAGTTTTTTGTCAACATTTTCAAAATTTGAACTTGAGAGAGATATAAATATTAATGGTTATGAGTCTGTTTGAGAATAGCGTTAGCGTGTTCAAAAGATTATCTACGGACAACTTTTAGCATTAGCATTTTCAAAGTTAATCTCTACCGTTAAAATTTTATCTAAAAGACTAACGCTAATCGAAAACGTTATTCCCAAACGGGTCCAATGTAAGTGGTGATTTGTAAATTTGATAATAATAAAATAATAATTAAGTGATTAGCGCCCAGCCTGTCTATGCGCAAGTAAATTGTGAATCATGGATGGAAACTAATTAATTTATGTGGCCATTCCACATGGTCTAGTTCTTAATTATGAAGATTAATTAGTACAGGGTATGTACAGTGCTACTTTAAAAAGTAAAAAGTTAAATAAATAAATATTTTAACCATTTTTTACAGCTGGCAGTGAGTGGATTAGATCCACACACCACGTGAGACTACAACTCATGTTTCCTTTTTAAGTTTGACTATGGTTCTTTTTCTAAAAATATGGGTGTGCCTGCACACATCATTTTGCTCCAACTCTATTTTCTTTATATATTTTTTTGTGGTTAAAGTTACTCAAAATATGAAAATAGTGTTTGTATTATTTTTCTGGAAATGACATTTCAAGAAATGCTATTTTTTCATGAAAATAGTGAAAATGTCTTGCCTCTGAGACAATGACAGATCAATAATATTCGTAAGTTATTGTAACCCAACATTAGATATGACATCACTGCATCACAGATACATAAAGACATCAATTGTTTTATTTGTTTATTTAGAATTGTTTGTGAAATATAATGATGTCCAATGTGTGAGAGAAGGGTAGTGTAAGAGTTTTATCCAATGTGATAGAATCCGGACAGTTTATCTAAAATGTATACTAAGATTATACAATTATTTATTGTTAGAAATTTAGGAGGATGGACGCTGCGAAGCAGCGTTGAAGAATTAATAAAATGAAGAACGAGAATTATAACTTGATAGTTTAACAAATCGCGAATACGTTTTCAAGTCAAAGTTATTTCGGGATATACCAAAATACTTTAATCCGATAAAATGTTAATCAAGAACAAGCCTTTCGAATCACCCTCAACCATACCTAGCAACTCCTTTTATAGAGTTGAAAATTTTGGCAACCAGACATAAACGTTCGCGTAAAGGAAACAAACGTTCGCGCAACAGCGAGAGAACCGAACATTTGCTAAAGAACGCAAAGTGTTTGCTTGGGTTTTCCTTCCGGTTGGGTCAATTTTGACGTTAATCCGTACGTCCGAAACTTTAAGGATTTAGACTCCGTTTACGAAAATCTGAAGGATTTTCATACCGCAATAACGTCAAAAATAAAAAATTCCCAAGCTGTCCCTCGACCCTAGCCAGGGGCTCTGCCCCTTGGACCCAGCCACGGGCTGTTGCCCCTTGGACCCCGCTATCGGGGGCTGCCGCCCCCGGACTACCGCTGTGAATTTGTAATATCGTTGAACTAGTGCACAGTTTGCGTCTCCTAACTCGTTTAACAACGTCTATTCTAATTCTTGTCAAACCTAAATAAATTTAATTACACAAAATAATTGATCACACTAAAATAACTAACATTCATTGGCCTTATTGGGCCACTGTGTGTCATTCTTTTTTTTCTCTCTTTTTTTGTTTTAACAAAAAAAACCGTTACGCTGTGGTGTAGTACGGAGGAATAGGGTACTAGGTAGGTGGTTAGATTAAGGAAGCGTACGTACCTGCTGTTGGAGCTTTCGAGAAGAGAGGGGCTGGAACAGTTGGAAATGGGCCCACGGTTGTCGGATAATATACATGGGCCGGAAGGCCCAATGTCTCTGGATGATGAGAGTATTGGTACAACGGGCCGTACGACACCGCCGCTGGCACAAAGGCGTTTGCTCCTCCACCACCTCCTCCTCCGGCCGCCACCATGTGAGGTTGCTGACCACTTGGATAAAAGTAGGCCCCACCCCCGTAACTTACCTTCTGTCACAACACCACATTTTTCATCACTCCCTCATATATTTGTAGGCCCCACCACTCTTTATATAGACAAATTCTCCCGTGAACCAAAAGTTTGTGTGCATTTTATAAATCTTAGTGTATTTATAACATAAAATAAGTTAATTTTTTGTACAAAAGAAAATACCCTTAAAAATGTGAAAATATCTATATTGTAAATGTCGACCTTGGACCATGTAAGTATCACTCGATTTGTTCACTTTGATTTTTTTGTAATAGCTGAGTAAGATAAATTTTGAAAAATAACCACAAAAAAATGTATTATAATGAGTACAAAAATAAATTAATTGAACTTATCTTCTACATTTATAAAAAAACAACTTTCGTCCCTAATTATTTATCCAGTTTTGACATTTGACAACAATTATTTTTTAACCTAATTATTTATCCAGTTTTGGAATTTTGTAAATTTTAATTTATATTTTTATATCAATATTTAAATAAAAATAATTGAAAAAACTTGATATTTTGTTTCATTTTTTGAAGTGTGGAAAACATTTTGAAATAGATGGAATATTTCTTATTTGTTCGAATTTCAATTTAACGTTTGAGTTTGACTCTTTTAAGTACTGATTAGGGAAGAATATTCTTGGACTGGTTCTGTGAAAAAAAATTAAAGAGTTAATTGGGAAAAAGGAAGGAGAAAAACATTTATTCGTCCATTATAATTTTGCTCATTGTTTTCAAAAAATAGAGAGAATATTCTATACCAGCATTAATGCTCAAGCATAGATATAAGACTTGAGACTAGAATGATCCTTAAATACCCCATTTTTTAAATAAGTGTTTATTATAAATTGTGTTTTTTCATACTTCTTTTATTCTTAAATAACAGTACAGTAAGACTTTGAAGATACATTAAAAATTAAATTAATGTGAATATAATGTTTGTTCAAATTCTTTTAAGATCCAATACATCTGAAAAATCATAATACACACTCATGATGTATTTTAGAATTGAGGAAATATCTATTAAAATTTAAATGAAAAATGACAAATACTTTGATGCAATAAATTACTCATAATATATTTCTCTCTTGACTTGAGTGATTAAAAGTCTATTACGTACAATTTATAAAAAGTGAAATTTGCTCTAAATAAGACTAAAACATAATGATTTTCCTAATGTAGGACTTAAACTTTTTTATTCTCTAAATAAGACTTAATAATGACCTTGTGAGATGAATAATGTCCAGTAATGATGGACATTTACTTGAATAATGATTACTTGATAATAACCAAAAGTCCTACATTAAGAAATAAAAACATATGGTCCTATATTGGAAAAGTCATTATGTTTTAGTCCTATTTAGGTAAATTACTCTTATAAAAAATAAAATGATCAAAAAAAAAAAATCAAAGTGGGACGAATACTTACGTGATTAAAGCTCAGGTCTGTGGCAACGTATGTGGGTCGAAACCTATTAAAAACAATCAATGGGGGAAAAAAAGAAACGACATTAAAAGCTGTGGAGACATACACATTAATACATGGACCAGTCATGCCCATGGGAATCAGGGATATATACTCTCGCTAAAAGATTGTCGCGGTTTAATTTTTTTGGGTAAATTATACTATCATTTGACTATAAATTTAATATTATTTAAAAATTTAAATTTTTTAAAAATTTGATATTTTAAAACTTTTTTTGAAATAAATCAAATTTTACTAATATTATATTATAACTAAATATACAATTTTCTTAATTTGTTGACATTACTAATATTATATTATAACTAAATATACAATTTTCTTAATTTGTTGTCAACAAGTGTGATGGTTTGACCAAAAAAGTCAAACTGTGACAATCTTTCAGAGACGGAGAGAGTATATCGAAGTGATCCAGCAAGGCATCCAAACATACATACCCATAGAGGGGAAGAGCTTGGCGATATTGATTATGATGATAATATGGTGGAGGAAGAGCTCCGATCCCGGCTGCTGGTGGCGCTGCGACCGGATAGATCAATCGCACGTGATTTGCGGGTGACGTCGGGTGAGCCGCAGCCCCTGGTCCCACTACAACATGGGGTCCTTCCGAACCCAAATATAAGAATAAAATACATAGAAATATAAGATTTGAGTTTCATTTTTTATTTTCAAAATAGAAGTTACACTGTCAAACATGTTAAGGTATAAGGTCAAAACGTATTATAAATTCAAGTAAATTCCTATTTTGGGGAAAATATGAAAATTTTATTTTGTTTTTTCTACTTTTACTTTCATTTTGGGTGATTTTTTAAATTTATCTCAAAAATATAATTCCTTCCGTCTCAATTTAAATCGTCTGTTTTGATTTACGATGTTTGATTGAAATTATTTTTAATACAATTTATTTGATGATTGGGTTTTATTTAAAAAAAAATTACATGTTTAAAAATTATATTAAAAAATTTATCAAATAATGGTGACATTATTATATCATATGAGTAATGAAATTAGAGAAAAATATGAATGAAGTTTGATTACGGAAAAAGTACAACTTAATTTTAATTTGGAACGAAGTAATTAGAAAAAAAACCCTTTCTATATTATTAAAATTTATTTAATTAGATGGAATTACCTTGTGGAGGAGGAGGCGAGGCGGAAGATTGTGGCGGCGGCCGGGGGCGCCGGGCACCGAGGGAGGCGAGATTGCAGTTAGCCCGCCGGCCGTGAATCATCGGCGCCGCATCCTCGCAGGCTTTCTTGGCCGCCTCTGCTTCTTTGAAGGTCACCTTCAAATCGATTTCCCCCACCCAACAAATTAAACAATTGCCCATCGAATTAAACAAAAACCCAAACCCATTAAATAAAAAACCTTTCACAGAGAACCAATTCGACTTACAAAACCATAGCCCTTGGATCGGCCGGTGAGCTTATTGGAGATGATGACGGCCTCCAAAATCTCACCGAACTTGTGGAAATGGTCACTCAACGCCTCTTTGGGCGTCTCCCAAGCCAACCCCCCAACAAAAACCTTTGTCAGCGTTGTGTCCCCGAAGGTGGCCGCCGCCGGCTTCTGGTTCCCGGCGCCGCCGCGGCCGGTGTTAGCGTCGTCGAGGTTGGTCGTCATGATTGCCATCCTAATTCCTTCCAATAGGATTTGTGTAGAGTCTAGCTATATAGGTGTATCGATTAACAGAGAGCTTAGCTTAAAATAGATCAGCAAATATATAGAGTTGAGTTAATGGTCTAAGATCAACTCTGGGAGGTATTTTGAAAAAGTATATATCTCATCTACTTCTCCAAGTAATCAAGTTTACTTTTTCAAAAAGTGTGCAACTCCAATGGAAGAAGGTAAATCAAAATGTAAAAGAGGAAAAAAAATTAGTTGATTTACCTACTTAAATCAAATTTTAATTATTAAAAAAGAAAACATACATTCTTAAAAAATCATGGGGAGGTATAAATTTGAGGTTTGTTGGCTTTATTTCTTCCTGATTAAATTTTTAAATTTAAAGATTTTATAAAAATACCACTAATTTATTGGGGAAAAATTAGAATGTCAGTTTTGAAATAATTAAATATACATTATGATTAATTGCACATGTAAAATTATAAATACCCGAATAGAAAAAACTTAAAAATACAGAGTGCAAAATTAGAAAACAAAGTATCCTTTTTTGTTAATTCTTGACTCGTTAAGTTTTACAATTACAAAGATAAAAATTAAAAAAATTAATAATAATACATTCAAGCAAAAATACAATAACTAAAGTAATTGATGAAATGAATTTAAAAGGAAAGAAAAGTTGATATACCTCCCCAAATGAAAAAGGTAAAGATACCTCTTCAAAATTGAAGAAGGTATAATGCCTCCTTATTTACTTCTCCCATTGGAGAATGATTTTTAATGAAAACAGGTATACATCACAATTATTCCTCTTTACCCTTTCACATACCCCTCACATTAGAGTTGCTCTATGGAAATAACATTGAAATTAGCCTTAACGTTTTAAAAATACATTTTCAAAATTAATCTACACCCTTAAAATTTTATTCAAAATGTTGACGTTAATTTAAAACGATATTCCCAAACTGACCCTATATGTACTCTCGATCCAAAGTTTTATGCCAATAGTTGTTTACCTTTCTTTATATGGGTAGAATATATTTAGTTTTTGTTGTGTGAGATGAATCCAACACATGGTTTCCAATATCCTCAAGTGGTAAATAATGTGGTATAGACGACATATAGTTATGTTACTACTCGGATGAGTGAATGGGTCTAGCGTTTCTATTGCATTAGAACTAACCGGATGAATATCAAGCTGAATCAAACTCAAATTGATCTTGACTTTGATACCATTATAAAATGGAGAATTTCCTTAATAGGACTAAAACATAATGATTTTCTCAATATAGGATCATATGTTTTTATTTTCCTAATGTAGAATCATTGGTCATTTTCCATTAGTCATTATTCAAGTAAATGTTCACCATCACTGGACATTATTCATTTAACGAGACATTATTAACTACTCCAGTACAATTTAGTGATTAAAAAAGTTTAAAGGAGCGCTAGTGCTTATTTTTATTTCTCATTTATTTTTGTTTCTTCCATTTTTTTCTTTTACTTGTTTCTTTTATTAATCAAGGTTTCTAAAATTTCTTTATAAAACTATTTTTATAATGTTCTTAAAATTTAAAACTATTTTTGTTTGAAAAAAATATTTAGAATTTAAATTTTGCGTTGAATTTTGGTAGAAAACAGTTTAAACAAAATATGAAAATATTATAAGAACTAGAATTTGCCTAAGAACTAATGCATAAAAAAATATTGCTACTTAATTCTCCACCGTATGTATTTTATACTCGTATCGAGTTAGAGTAGTGGCCTAGTGGAGCAGTGGGGGAGTAATACGACTATAATTTTATATTGAATTAAGCTAGGGGTACACCAACATGGGGTACCCCAAGTGTACATCAAAGCCAACACAGACACACACAGATACAAAGTGTCTGTGTTGCACAGACATTTTGTGTCTGTGTGTGTCTGTGTTAGCTTGGTGTACATTTGGGGTACCCCATGTTGGTGTACCCCTAGCATTGCCCTTTTATATTTAATCGTTTCAATTTATTATTCAACCAATCTTAAGAAAGGTAAAAAATATAGAGTAATGTCAGAGTCACAAATAAAACAATCACAAAATTCACAATCTTGCTAAATATGTAAAATAAAGGTATCAAATAATGGTTTCAAATAATCAAAAAATAAATATTTAAATGCACAAAAGGTAAGATTGTTCATTTTGTGAGTGTTTTGTTTGTGACTCTAGATTACTCAAAAACATATAGTCCGTAATTTTTCTCTCTAGTTATTTCTAAACAAATTTTAATTTTTCACCTTTTACTTTTCGATATTTTTTAAGACTCCATGAAATCAAATTGACAAAATAAAAAGTATACATTATATTTCAAAAACTATCTTCAGATTTTTACAAGACAAGTAATGACAAGAGTTTTTTAAGAAATCACTTCGTTCACCAAAACTCTTCATATTTTGTTTTAAGAAATTATTTTAAATAGAACTAAAACATATAGAAAATTCTCAAATAGAAATTTCATATTTTTATTCCCTAAATAAGAGTTAAGACTGTGGTAATGTGGCACAGTACATGTACATTTTACTTAATATACATGGTAATGATCGATAATGTAAATGTATTTTAACTTCTATTTTGAAGATAAAAACATAGAACTTTTATTTTGATACATGTTCAATATTTTACTCCTACTTTGGTCTTTTCCCTTTTGTTTTTACGTGTAAAAGTTCATGTATTTTAAAAATAATTTTTTAATAAATTTGTATAAAAACAAAAAGTAAACTTTATATAATTAAAAATGAGAGCCTTTAAGGTTACACCACTTGAAGTGGTGTAATATCGTGACACTAGTACGTTCAAATAGAGCACCTATATATGGTGTTTCGATCCATTCGTAAAATTGATGATTCCTACCACTCTCCCCGGGCAATTTCAACACCATCCCTAAATCGGCAATCTGGGATAATTAGGGTATTATGAACAGTCAATTTTACGAATAAAGCACCTATAGTGCTCTAATTGAACTTGTGTCACGAACCAGTGTCATTTTTACTGGTGTGGCTTTATAATTTCTCTTTAAAAATATATCAAAAATTCTACAAAATAAGTGGTGACAAGAATATTTTATTTTATCAAATGACATGTAAAAAACACATGCAAAAACATTGTCAAGCAACCTTGAATTGTAAACATCAAGAATTTTGGTGAAGGGATGGAGTAAGATTTATTTGGGTTAGTAATTATTATTAAATATATTTTGCAAAAAAAAAAAATAATATGAATCAAAATTTATTTCAATAAAATGAAACATGTTATTCCCTCAGTCCCAAAAATAATTATATTTTTTTCTCTCTCTCATCTCGATAACTCTTGTTTATATGTGTGTTTTGAGAGAAAATTTACTATTATGTTTTTAAAAACATAAATTTAAAATTTAAAAAATGAAAAAAAAGAATTTACCTAAAATAATTACACCTTTCACATTTATTTATGAAACACAAAGATTTTCTAAAATATCTGTTATGTGACCATTAACTTTCTAATCACTATCCAAAACTTACAAGCACACATGCCGGAAGATAGAATTATTTCGAGTTACAGTGAAAAGTAAGTTTATTTTTGGCAAAAAAGCAAAAAGATGATATTATTTTCATTTTTTATATTTCATTTGAATTTCGTAAAATCAATGTGTAAATTTCAATTTGGAGGGAAAGAAATATGGAGAGAGGTGGACAGAAGAGCATTGTGTTGAGGCCACCTGGATACACACTGTACTATTGTCATTTCCTTTCAATTCCAAGCTGGCTTTAATTAGTTAAATACGCATGTTATGCTATTTAGGAAAAGTCATTATGTTTTAGTGTTATTTCAATAAATTTCTCTTAGTTTTATGCTCTCAAGAGTCATTATACTCATTATATTATTCTTGTTTATGCTTCCATTGATATTATTGTTAGATATTAGAATTAACATTTTAAAAAAGCTTAATCTTTAGTATTAAAATTCTTATAATTAATTTATACTTTTAAATTTTTATCGAAAATACTAACACCGTCTCCAAATTAAGAAGGCCTTTGTTATTAATAAAGAAAACCAACACTTTGGTTTATGTAACGCGTAAATAAACACAATTGAATTTTAAAAATAATTTTTAAGCCTTTTCACTTTTCTTTTATGAGGATAAATATGAGGCTTTAATTATCAACCTCCTTAGTTCAAACGAATTCTGATCTCGTATTTTTCAATTTAAATATTCTTTCTTCAATTTCTGGGAAATCAACTTTTATAAATCAACTTGAAGATAAAACATGCTACTCCTTATGTTTCTACACAAATTTTACATGCACTATTTATAACGTCAACTATTATTATCATGAGTCCTTATTAGCTATTTATTTTAGTCCTTTCTTACGATAAAATAGTCTTGTCACAATTTATGTTATACGAGTAGAACTTTTATCTAATTTCTTAAATATGTAACTTTTACTTTCAAATATTGCGCTATTTAAATAATATTCTCTATGTCACATTTCTTTTCTTTCTTGTTCCAAAAACTCATTATCTTCTATATTAAAAAATAACTTTAACCCTTACTAATTTTTAAAATATCTATCACATCATAATTGTTTACTAATAATGTATTTATCAGTTATCAAATCAAGGATAGAATAGATAAAGAAAATAATTAAAGTACAATGTGTTAGGTATGTAATTCTAAAGTTAAAAACTAAAGAGTATTTCACGACGAACGAAAAACTAAAATTTAAATATTTAAGTGAGAAGAATAATAACTGTGATGGATTAGAGATTTTTCCTAATCCAATATCATTTGAATAGTACAAGAAAGCTCAATTTTATCTGGCCCAAGATATAAATCAGATAAATTATTCAAGATGGAACCAGAGATATATGGACAGATTAATATATTTGAAGTGATGTGAAAATATTCCGTGGAGCCCATATACTAAACATATGCACATGGAGGTGACATAGCCACATCATGGCATTGTTGGGATGCATGCATGTACTCCCCTTTAAATAGAATGCTACGAAGGAACGGAGGGGGGAGAGGCCAGAGTTCCTACAAGTTTCAC